CGGTCGCTTTCGTCTGGGAACGCAAGTTGCTATTCATTATCAATTGGCCGCGGAATGAAATGAGCTTCGAGCTAAGGTCATTTGGACTAAAAGTAACAGTATGGTACGAAACATTTATATACAGATATTCGCTAAGATATCATTGTCAAAATTTATGCAGAGCGATTCCATTATCAGAATAGTCAAGGGTCGAAGAGGACCAAAGTATATATACTAGACGTGGAGACAAGACAAAAGGGAGACAGGCCAGGCGATGCTGTCAATGCTTGGGAATTGCATTTAAACTCAACACTAGTAAAATGATGAAAGTGGACCGTGACTAAATTATGTCACTGTAAATCAGTTGGCTAGTAAAGTGAATTTTTGCTATGCATTAATTATTGGAAAGTAAATTTGGATAAATCTGTTTAATGAAAGTGATTTTCTTTTGATTATATGTCAATTGATTAAAATTTGTATTTTATTTATTGAAAGGTGGTTCTTTGTTATTTCTTTCTTTCGATAATTAGCTCAGCCATCTGTAACGTTCCATTTATCCGTCCACACTGGGGAATAACACACTGGAGATCATCCCCCAGCTAACAACGCCGAATTAAGTAAGGAGGGGTTTAGTGTAATATGTTTTAAATCGCCCACACCCCGTTACACAGAGGTAGGTAAAGATTTATCAATTAATCATAAACCTTTTTAATCTCCTGTTTCAGCAAAGACAATTTATATCGGAAAGCGAATTCTATTAAAAAGCTCCAGGAACGCGTCTTTCCTTAAACTCTCAAACACTTCCTAGGTTGGATTGGAAATAAATCTCCATCCTAGATGAAAACATGAAATCTAGTTGGTTTCACAATGTAAAAATCAAACGAACAGAAATAAAGAAATGTCCGAAATAAAACTAACTTATATTTCAAAAGAGTGTCAATTACTCTTAAATATTTTTGAAATTCATATCCCGGACGAGTCTCCAAATTTTAACAAATAAAAATCGAATGTTATAAATAAAAATGCGATAGTAACTTACAAGATTATGAAGTGAACCCAAAATTATTCTGTAAGAATTATATTAATGTCCAAAACGAATGAAAAGTTCTGTATAAACTTCTGAACCTTCGAATGATTCACAATAGTTTCAGAATAATATTATAGCTGAAAAAAATGAGCACATACAGTCCAAAAAATGTTTTTTTCAATCAGTGCAATATTTAGTGGATTGGTCAATATTAGAGAACAGAAGTGCCTTGACTCAAAATAACTTAAACTGGATTTAACACTACCAAATCAATGTATAGTGCGTTTCTGATACAGACAGTCTGTCTGCAATCTTTTACATATAGAATCTTAAATGGGTAATGATTTAATATTGAATTTATGAAACAAGTTGAATAATGGAAGAAAAAAAAACTGGTCATAAAACTGATATTTTTTTGTTATGTACAATTTTCCAGAGCTCACAGATAATATCTTTTGGATACATCTGCTCAAAAATAGTTTGTTTTTTTTTTCACTGACATAAACTTCATCAGTAATTTATGGATAAGTATTTAAGAATATTTAGTCCATCAAAACTTGTGCAGACAGAGGTATTAAAATAAATATATTTGCTTCTATATTCAATTTAATATAACGCCGATAAGGATTCATATATATGGTTTTGTAGCATATAATCCGCAGGGTAATATTGATTAATTTTATTTAAAAAAATGCAAAATACTTTTAAATTGTCTATTTTAATTAACTCAATATTCTGTTCTTTGAACATTAATTTCGAATAACCACAGCAAGGGCAATTCCGTCTATTTTTTTTTCTCTTTCATCCAGCACGTATTTAACACCATTTCTGGCTCAAAGTCACTAACTGGTATCTCCATTAACGCTTTCCCAGCTCAATTAATCTGCTATATTTCATAAATTTAAAAATTATTGTCATCATCAGCAAGTATTTGCCGAACGAATTTGTAATGGACGACCACAGGAAAAGGACATTTTGGGTTTACTAGGTAGGCCTTTTTAAACAAGCATTTGTAAAACTTTCTTCGTGAATGTTTTCAAACTACGCCATAATGCATAATCCCGGGCACGTTATGCTCATTAAAATTCATGTCATGTTTGAAGAACTCAGACGCAGAACAGTCGCTATCAGAAAAATAATGTTGCGACAAGAACGGTAAACAAAAATTGTATACTTTGCCGAACACATTTTCATATGTAGGACTTTCTACGCATTTGCGGGAGTTCTCGCATTTCAGTGTTCTCCAAGAGCATGAATTCGTACAAATTTTGCACGATTCGCGCAGTGGCACACATTAATAGCATCTCCTCGTAAGTACCTGACATATCTAACGACCTCTGTAGAAGCTATGTTGCTCTGCCAATACTTCCTGTTTGTCACGCAGAGAATAAGCTACATTGATTTCTTACTGGTGGTTATTGTTTAACCTGGACCGGAACAAGCAAAAACCACAAATGAGAATTCAATGTAACATTTCACCGTGCAACAAACTGGTAGCGATGCTTTCCAATCGACCCAAAGAGTCATGATACAATTCGAAGGAGAAACTTAGCGTGAAAGTGGTTATTACATGATAATTAAAGTACTTCATTATACATGTGGACATGTTTGGAATGTATGCTTTACACTTATGGGTTCAGATAATTGCATGGAATGGGGAGGGGGCAGATTACGAACCATGTCACTTTCTGTTAACTTGTAGACGGCGAATGAGCATTTTCTAAAAGTCTTTTTCGTTTTTGATAACAAACATGAGTGCCTGTGACTGCAAATGCTGTTCAGATGAATTATAATAGTAAAATGAGTTATAATTCAGATGAATTATAATAGTACAGGATTACATGTCAACTAATAATAATTATTCATGACTGCTGAAGATCAAAATAGCATGCATACGGTAAGTATCGTTTTACATCTATCCGCTGTCTCTTATATCGTTTAAGCAAAAGTATCGATGAATCGTTTCACCTCTAGTATTTGTTATACAGTCTATGTCGTTACTCACGAATCAATTTAAATTTATTTAATTTACTTTTAGCTTTATTAAAATAAAAGAACTAACACCAATATACATTACAAGAAAATTCTTTCAAAAGCAAAACATATTTCGTTCACAATAGTAAATACGCAAAGAAAATTTGACACTTGCATACATTTATTAGTGTGTAATCATATGCGCTCTTGGTACTTCAGCTCTTGGCTACAATAAAGTATTTTTATTCAATTCCTTTGCAAAATTTTTATTTTCGTCACCTTTATATTGGGCAATGATGAGTAAATTGTCTTGCTTAAGGGTTATAAAAAAAAAAAAAAAGCGGCAGCAGAACCAGCCTGGGTTATGTTGACGCTTCTTAGTCCCGTCCAGTATGTCTTGCTGATTAGGACTGTTCTCAAATGTATTCGTTTGGTTGCATGTAGTTTTTTGTCATCCCTTTTGGTGTAATTGTGTATAAGAATAATACATATTGGAAAAAAAAAGAAAGAACTTGATCTGGGTTGCTCTGTTCTGTCAAATATGTAAATAGTTGTATTTATCCCAATAAGCTTAGGTCGAAACTGTACACTTTTTCCTGCTGCAGGCCTGGTTTCCCCGTTTCTTTCCTTGCTAAGAATTTATAATAGTATTTCACTTTATCTTGACACCCATTCAGATAGCTAGTACCCTCCCCGTTATCCGTTGTTTTATAATTGAAGATGTTGTATTGGCTTTTGCCATTGTCATCCGTTTGTCTTGTGTGGTGGTTGGTTCTGTGCGGGGGTTGTATTGCGACCTGGTAGTTGTAAGGACTGGCACTGTCTAAAATTGCAACGAGTTTCAGTCTTATCCGATCAACATGGAATATAGAAAGATATATCAAAGGGTTTTAAAATATGAGAAAAGTAAATAAGGTGTTTAAGTGCGTGTCTGTTTTTGCATGCGTGTCTGTGGTTCATTATAATCATTGTTGCAATTGTATGCCTTAGCGTGAATTGTGGTTTGTCAAATTGTTTTTTATGGAGAGGATTGATTGTTGTTGTTTTGTAATATTTTTGTAAGGAGGATTGAAAATTAGTTTTAATGTGAATCGCCCTGACGTACCATGTGAATCAGACACTTTGCTCCTGTGTATCACCATAATCACTGTTAATTTAACTAGTTTAATAAATATAATTGTATTATGAAAACCGCTCTTAACTTCAGGTGATATTTGTTATATAGTGATTTTACTCGTTTCTTCAATTTAATTTCAATCATTCATTATAACGTTTGTTATATTGTTCAATAAAAATTTATGCATTTTGCATTTCAAAATAAATTTTTCTATTTTTTTTTTGCAAGGGAAAGAACATTGTTAAACCATAAACTTGTGATTTGAGCATCGTTGTCGTGAGTTACCCCCCTTTTCACCCAAATAAAATTGGTAAGAGAATAACTTTCTGTTCCAAAGTATTTCATTGATGTCGAATGAACATGTTTCAAAGTAAAGATTGTTTGACGTTTTTCTAGTTTGTGTACTTACATCTATATTTGACAACAGGTTAGCATTATTTGTACACTACTAAAGGCTATTCAATGATTTTGAAGTTCTTCAGAAATGCTTTTCTTCATTAGAATTAGCGGGTATATTTTACAATAGATCTACGTTATTTGGATAAAATAAAAATAAAAACAAAAACAAAAAACAAACAAAAAAAACTATGCTATACTGCTTTCTATAAAGTTTTGTCTAATTCTTTTCAATGGTTTTTGAGAAGACCTACTAAAGGTTGTTTTATATTTAGTAATAGTGGTCATATTTTGATGTAAGGATGTGATCATGATTCTTAACGTAACATCTAGCAATTTTTTAGTCATATCGCTACGATGTCTGCAGTGTAGCAGTTTATAGTGACGGGAGCATCATGCTGCAGACATGTACCATGATGTCCCACACAGTCACATTATCCTGACACCAGGCCGAACTGTCCTAACACTAACCTCTTAATGCTGAGCGTCAAACGAGGCTAAATCTTCGGTATTAATCGACCGGGGATCGAACCCACGACCACCCGCATCCGAGGCGAACGCTCCAACCACTAGGCCATCAGAGCGGTACGGAAGGTATGCATGATTAATACAATTTTGAAAGGTCTTTCTTTGACAATAATTACATTTTGCTGTGATCTCCAAAATCTTTTTTAAAAAGTTTCTTTTAGTAATCGTTGATGCCAAGATGCTTTGTTAAATTTGGTCAAATTCTTATTCGAGATTTTTTAATAAAATGGCGTTTAAAGTTTTCTATAAAATTTTAATAGCAATGGTCATTTAATAATAGTTTATCAGAATCATTTATATAAAACTGAAGTCTTCATTCCTGTATTCTTTCCATCAAGTTTGTTCAGATTCTTTCGGTAATTTTGGAGAAGTATTCTAAAAGCTTTTCTCCTTTAACTAATGTCACCTTAATGGGTGGTGGATTGGTATCATTTTTTAAAATAAAAAATTAAAGGTGGTTGTTGTTGGGTTTAACGCCATTTTTCAGCACAAGATAGGCTATACATGGCGGCCAGTATCAATAGTGGAGGAAGAACCCGGGTAAACCCCCGAAAGAACCACCGATTCACGAGAAGCTACTGGCAAGCTTTTTCACATACCCACAAACGTTATTCAACGGTTTTGCAGAAGTCGTTTCAAGAGTTCCATATTCAAGAGCATTCAGTATTATGTCCCACTCGGTCACATTATCTTTTAACCAAACCGTCCAGTCCGAACACTAACCTCTTAATGCCGAGTGCCTAGCGAGGCAGCAGCAAGTACCATTTTTACAAGTCTTTGATACAACTCAACCGGGGTTTGAACCCGCCATCTCCCGCATCAGAGGATGATGCTCTATGCACTAGGCCACCAGAGCGGTCTACTTTTTCAGCAATGATAGAGATATTCGATTGTGGACGAGTACCAATTGTATCAGCTCAATAAAGACTTCTATGCCAGGATATTTGTTATAATTTGGTCTAATTCTGTTGAGCAGTTTTAGAGGTTTTTTTAAAGCTTTTTTCTTTATTTTAAAGGAAATATTGTCATATTTGATGACAGAGCAGCATATTTTTGTACAAGTCTCCATTCCTTGATGTCTTTTCTTTTTTTAAATACGAAGTTGTTTCCATTTTGTTGTGATTTCTATGTTTAGCAATGTTAGCCACGTTTGAAGGTGGATTGGATTAATTTGTAAAAACTTAAAATGGTCTTCATGCCATGTTGCTTTCTCCTTTGGTCAAAATCCATTCATTGGTATTGCCAAGTTATTCAAAAGTTTTTCTTTAGTTAGTTGACCTGTCATAACACTGTTCCACATCATCTGTACAAGCGCTGAAGGTTGTCATATCAGGACGCTTGCTATATTTTATCAAATTCTGTTAAGCTGTTTTTAATACATCCTTTTAAGGGTTATTTTCTTTAAAGATTTTTTTTTTGTAATGTTACCATCTATAATAGTAGTTCTGAATCATTTGAAAAGTTTGGTTTTGATTCATCTTTAAATTAGAATTTTTTTTTAAACTGCCAATGCAGAGCCAGAAATTAATACAGCTGGTCGCCTATCATAACAGTTGAGAAGTGGTCGTGAGTGTGCAGTTTATTGCGTACCTATCAACATCCTGTACTTGAAGAGATTAAAAAAAGTAAAAATAAAAAAATAAAATAAAATAAAAATAAGTGGACATTTTTGGACTAGGTCAACCTGAAGATGTGTTCAGTGAAAACCAGACTGAATGTCGAACACTTCTTTGTCACACTGAAAGCTGCACGTATTGATTTTTATTAAAATTGTACTAGTTCAATTTGACCACAGGCAATAAAGCATGACGAAATTTCTGACATGAAGTCACCTTAACGGTATTATAAAAATTAATTTAATAATGTTAATTTATAATACCGTTAAGGTGATTTAATGCCAGAAATTTTATTGTGCTTTATTGATAAAACTGCAGACTCCTATGATTTGACCCAACATCCTTGTTTCTTGAGCAGTTTAGTAAATGACCACCTTTGCGCAAATCCACAGCTAAAAAAAAAAAAAAAGATGAATATAGATGATCAGTCATGGAGTTTGTCAGTCCTGCTTCTCTGAGAGGGCTATATACAAAGTCAGTCGTAAGTATTGGTTGCAACGTAAGGAGCTCTTCAAAATTAATCCATTGTTTAAAACTCGCATTTGATGTATACTCAGCGTTACAATAAACCATCAGGAACTGCTCACATTAAAAAAGAATCCATTGTTTAAAACTTGTGTTTGATGTATACTCAGCGTTACAATAAACCATCAGGAACTGCTCACATTATAAAAGACATGGATAGAACTAAACTAAAATATTGTAAATCACACCATTTTTTTTCAAGCAAAACTTGTAGTGCACTTGGCAAGGTAACTATACTTTCTAAAATAATGTTTGTTAATCCTGTTCAATGCAATATTTATGATAAATCATTGGCAAACATTTTATGTCATTAAAATGCCGAGTCGGTTGTATAAAATAAAACTTGATTATGCCAAAATATTACCATTTACAGTGGTTTAAAATGTGAATCCATATACCATTTATAGTTTTTACCTACTGGCTACAACAGGCTCCAAATCTATATCCAGTACATCAAAACACTTGGTTTACTCGTTTTTTTTTTTATATTTTCCCTTACAAGAGGACACAATTTCTCAAAACGGAATATGTGAAATCTAGGAAATACATTTCAGCACTCTACTGGTTATAAATTTTTCATTTATAAAAAAGCAGGCTAAAATAATTTTCTCAACTATCAAGGACATTGTTAACTATCAAAAACAATGGTCTAAAAGGAACTCCCAAAAAACTACACCCCCCCCACAACAAAACAATAACTACATCATACCAGTCAGATAGTGATATATTATTGGATGAATGCCAGTGATGTCAGTTCGAAATATCAAAGCTCATATGCAAGTTGAGCACAACTGCAGAGACAAGATCTGCTGGTGCATAATGTGCCAACAGATAACAATTTCTATAGTTTGCAGTTGAACTTTACATGTACAGGATTGTATAATGTACCTTTCAAGTATTACATAATATTTCTGGGGTCTACAGTTTTTTCCCCCTGAATAGAATCGTCATGCCTACCTTCTGGTGTGTATTAGTTAAAATTCATTTTGCAAAAATACAGGACAAAACTAGCTACAAAGGTAAAGAAAAGTTTTTATTTAATTTCAAAATTAGAAAAAAAAATTAGATTGAACGACATGAAGTAATATCATCAGACACTTTTCCAGGGATCACAGTGCCTGCGAGTACCTTTTCATAAGTATCACTTTAAGAAAATCTATAGTAGCTGTGTAGAAGAAATGCATGTAAACAAAGTAGATCTTTTATATGATAGCAACTCAAGGACCCAGGTAGTAGCTTGCATACAAGTTAACAATTAGAAACATGGCACAAATGGCCAAAAAATGCATAAATTAGTCTTATTACTATCATTATTTAAGCTCTACAATAAGTAATTACTGCATATATAGAAAGCCACGTGATTTGTAAACTACTGTTACAGTGGTTACTTTCAGAAGCCAGAGGAGAGTTTACTGCAGTACATTTAATTATTATGTCAACCTCATTAGAGTCTATCCCTTTCACACAGCTATTCATGTATGTTGTTCCATGTATCAGTGTCAGTATAGACAAAAGAACAGGACAACATTGTTTTGGATAACCCAGTAGATGACTTCCTTAACTTCACTGGAAATGATGATCTCTTGAAAGGGGAAGTCCACTGTTTGCTTACACTGTAATTCATCAGATAGTATTTTCTAATATAATTTTGCTAGGCACTGCAGGCATTAAGGCCTAGTCTGAAACATGGTGCTGATAAGAGTTTCACAACACTAGTCTGTATATATCTACAATGTTTCCATTTACATCTTCTACACACCTTTTATTAATAAATCAAAGGCTGTTTCATAAAAGAGCAGTACGTTACATCAGTAGAAAATGTAATCACAAGGAGCTGCACGTCAAAAGTTAAATTTTAAACTTTGCTTTATACTTAGGATAATACACACATGAATTTTATTTAAATTCTTGGAAAAGTAAAGGAATGATACACTATACAGTAATCACTACAACTGACAAAATGCAGGCTTATGAAATAAGAACATTCCTGCTGGTTATAGCATATAATTCAGCTGGGAAAAATGTAATAATTATGAAAATTAATAAAAGTTAACATTAGCTAGTATTTTGAATAAAGTTCATTTGTATGACTAGGTGGGTGCTGGGATTTCAATAACTAATTCCATTCTTGACCTTTTTCCACTTAATCCATGCCAATAGTTCACTCATACAAACAAAAAAGTTAAAATTACAACAAGAGAAATTAATTACTGAATAAATGTACAATGCAAACTGCTTTCATAAATATACTGAAAATAAATATCTTTCTGTATTAATGTATACACATGTAGTTATTATGATTGCTCCAAACTGTACAAACTAAACCCTGGTTAAACATAAATGGCTTCTCTGAGCCAGTGTACCGGGAGTGACTATTTCTTAATAGTTTCAAGACAATAAAAATACGAAGCATACTTTTTTAAATTTCACAGCTAAATCTCATCAACCAAATAACAGACAGCCTAGTACACAATGCATAAAATATCACATGCATATGTAATGGTTTGAAATCCAACTATTTCAAATGTTGAAACCTAGTGTACAGTATTCATTTTAGTGTACCAATCCTTCAGGAGTTTACCAGCTTGCCTGTACAACATGTCAGCTGCAGGCAGTACAGACCCAGTGATTTTCACACAATGCTGAGGAAAAACAAGATTTGTCATTTGTTCCATTTATCTCAATCAATCACTACTATGTCTGATCACTACTAGCCATTTTGACACAACATACATCCATAGATCTGGCTCTACATAGTTTAAGGTCAGGTGTTCATTCTACATGAATAAATGCAGTATGCTGACACACCATATATACTGATATACAAGTCAGATCCACTTGCAAACAACACAGACTCTAATCCAAAAGTCCTTAGGACTAATGGTAATTTGTAAAGCAAACTGATGTGTTGCACA